GGCTTCTTCCTCAAGGCCTCCCACAGACAGCACTTTCCACACGAAGGCGTCGGTGACGCAGCCAGAAAACCTGCTTCACCACCTCCCGGATAGCTGCATATGATGAGAACACAGATTTGGGTCTCTTTAAATATGAATAGGTTACAAATTGCCTCTTTAAATATTGCTTGAGATCAAGTGGTAGCGGTTATATATGAAGTCAAGCAGCTGGCATATTCATTCAAGGCATATAATTTTCTTCACTCTTTGGACAGAACACAAGCAGGTTTTTAACTCTGAATAATTGATCTTCCCTCCTGTACTGAGGGGGGGTGTTGATGATTGCCCACCTCGTTAGCCTGAAACCTTTTCAGCCCTGGACCAGCCACGCCATGCCCGGTGTGGTATCCCCCATGGTGGGGCTGGCTGCAGCCCCTCCACACCAAACAGACCCCTCTGTGAACACAACAGTCGAGTCTGGAGTCTCTTCAGCCCCACAGCTGTTCCTTCTGTTACTTTCTCCAGACTCCTCTTCCATGCATTTCCAAGCGGCGTCTTCACATGATTACAGTCGCTTTCAGAGATGAGCTCGTGCTAAGATGCCCAATGAAGAACCCTGATCAGAATTTTTTTCTTTTTTTTTTTTTTTTTTTTTTTTTTTTTTTTTTTTTCTGAGGCAGGATCTTGTTCTGTCATCCAGACTGGAGTACCGTGGCATGAACATGGCTTACTGCAGCCGTGACCTCCCCAGTTTGAGCAATTCTTCTGCCTTGCCCTCCTGAGTAGCTGGGACTACAGGCTTGTGCCACCATGCCTGGCTAATTTTTAAACTTTTTGTAGAGATGGGATCTCACTATGTTGCCTAGGCTGGTCTTGAACTCCTGGACTCAAGCAGTTCTCCCACCTCAGCTTCCCAAAATGCTAGAACTGACTATAGGCGTGACGCACCATGTCCAGCACAGAATTTTCAAAGTAAACAAAACTAAACCTCCCGAGCGTTTCAGTACATGGGTCTCAATACACTGTTCCTCATGCAAAGCCTTGAAGGAAGGTACTGGTAACTTCGCTGTGCCCGTGTGTTCGCCATCAGTTGATCTGCAGCAAATGATCTGCAGCTCTATGCGCTGCAGCCCCAGGGCTGCACGACCTCGCTGTTTCTGTGGGTCTGGGGTCCAGCGCAGCTTCTGGGTCGCTCTGGCTCAGGCTTGTCCCGAGGCTGCAGTTATGATGTTGGCCGTGGTTGTCCCCACCGGAGGGCTCAGCTGGGGCTGGAGAACCGGGGTCCGGGGGCTCCCTCCTACGCCCACCGAGCTCTGCTGCTGTTGGTGAGAGGCTGGGTTCCTGGGCTCATTTCTGTGGGGCTTCTCGTGTGTCGGACAGAAGGGCAGCTGGCTCCCGACAGAGAGGCAGGGAGGAGGAGGAAGCCACTGTGCCTTGCGGGGCCTGGTCTCGGAGACCTCCATGTCCCCTCCACCTGGTCACTAAGTCCAGCCCACATGCAGGGATGGGAATGAGGCTCTCCTTTTGAGGAGTGTTGAGGGACGCGTGGCCACAGTGGTCGTCAGCTGGGGTCTGTTCCACTTCAGGATGCACCGGCCTCTCCTGGCCCTGCAGGGCGGGCTCCCGCCTCCACCCCAGCCCGGCCCGCCGGTTGCGAGCTGCACTTCCTCCCACCAGCTGCAGGCTCGGGCATGCGGCTCGTGCTGGGGAGCTCATGGACTCCGAGAGGCCTGCCCTTCAGCCTCCAGGAACCTCGCAGCTGCCCAGCAGCCAAACCTCGGAGTTGTGGAAGCTCCTGGAAGTTTCAAAGGCCCACTTAATATGTAATAGTCAGTGCAGCATTAATTTAATTGCTCCCCGATCCCACATACCGAAACCTTTCACCGTTTAGCACAGAGATGATGGCGAAAGAGAAGCCACAGGGAAAACTGAAGCAGTGGAATTTTTACATTTCTGGTTGCTTCTCCTATTTGTAATTAATATCTGTTCAGCGTTTTTAAAGCTCATAGAATGCTTCAAGTACATTCTCATAGGAGTTTCATGACTTGTAATACAGGCATGTGAAAAAGTTGGAAGCTAAGGAAATAGGAAGTCAGAGAAGGCACACTGAAAGTCAGCCTGAACTGGAACCCACGTCTTCTGGTCGGGAACATCCCCGTTCTTGTCACCGTAGCACTTTGCTGTGTGTAGAAAGTGCGCAGGGCCCTGCACATGGGCACAATGCTGCCTCCGCCACAGGTTTATTTTTGTGAAATCAAACAGAACGCTGTTTGTGCTTAAAAACTGTCCTGGGCCCCCATCTGTAAAGTACTCATCCCCGGTAGTTCCCAGCAGGCGCTGAGCACCACCACTCTGCTGGCGCCTGACCAGACCACACTGCACAGAGCTCCAGACCCAGCTCCAACCAGCTGGGAGCTGCAGGAAGGTGCCTCCAGCACCTGGCGCTTTCCACCCCTCTGCCCCAGAGGTCACTCTGCCCTCTGCAGTCCCTCTGCCCTCTGCAATCCTTCTGCCCCTGTAGTCCCTCGGCCCTCTGGATCCCCTTTGCCACTGCGATCACTCTGCCCTCTGCAGTCCCTCTGCCCCTGTAGTCCCTCTGCCCCCGCAGTCACTCTGCCCTCCCCAATCACTCTGCTCTCTGCAGTCCCTCTGCCCCCACGGTCACTCTGCCCTCTGCAGCCCCTCTGCCCCCACGATCACTCTGCCCTCTGCAGTCCCTCTGCCCCCTCCCCCGGTCACTCTGCCTTCTGCAGTCACTCTGCCGTCTCAGTCACTCTGCCCTCTGGAGCCCCTCTGCCTCTGCAGCCCCTCTGCCCCCGCAGTCACTCTGCCTCTGCAGTCCCTCTGCCCCCCCAACCCCGGTCACTCTGCCTTCTGCAACCCCTCTGCCCTTCTGTCAGCCGTCACTTGGCAGTGTTGTGGTATCTCTGTCCTCTGCCTCCTACGCCCTCGCCTGGGCCCTCAGCAGCTTACTGCAGGAAGGTATGGGCAACGTGCTCTGGCACATGGGGTGTTCTGTCACCCCGTACTTCATATCATGCCCCTGCTCCTCAGAGCCTCTTCCCGAATGAGCTGGGCATGGTGTGTTGGGCCTTTATTCTTCTGGGACACAAACACAGGACTGCTGGTTGGTCTCTGATATAGACCCTGGAGTCTGGTCCTTTCGTCTGGGACAAAAGGAACCAAGGAGGAAATTCCAGCCATGCCACATTTGCAGACGACACACTGTCGGGCTTTTTTTTTTTTTTTTGCAATAACTGCATTTCCTAAATAATTCAGGCTTTGGATTGAGAGCGTGTCTGTCACTTTCCTTTATAGAAATAACCTTTTGTAAATCAATGTACTGTTACTTTATAAAGCCAGACAACTGTCTCTAGACAGCAATACAAGCTACCAACTGTGAACTGCTGTTTCCGTCCCGTTCACTCGTGGATGCTCTTCTGCACCGCACTGGGACCTTTTAATTGACATTAAGTGACACACCCCACAAACAAAACAATACTCACCGAGGCTCAGAAGGTTGTGTCTGATGTGCCTGTGCTCGTGTCGATGATCGGTGCCTTCTCCAGCTGTCCCTTCCTCGGGCTGCAGCACCTCCATGACTCAGGTCCCTGCAGGCACTTGGCGTCATTCTGTGCACCCCTCTGCCCCAGCCAGGAGGGTGCTTTTTTCAGAGGGAGGGATGTGGCCTGCTGGTGTCTCTGTGTCCTACCCATGTGCCTTTGAAGCTGGGCAGGTGGGTCTGGGGGGTGTGACCTGCTGGTGTCTCTGTGTCCGACCCGTGCGCCTGCGCAGCTGGGTAGGCGGATCTGGGCCGAAAGCAGCTGCTGCAGGTGGAGCTCCCGTTTCCTCATGTGCTCTGCTTTTGATGCCTCTGCTACAATGGTGCTTCTGTTTCTGCCTGCACTTATGCATCATTGGGATGGGAAACTCTTTTTTACTTCTTTCTAGACCTTTCTCTTCCTGCCGCCCTTTGAGGGACCTCATTCCTCCTCCCTTCATTAGCCATGACAGCCTGCAGGGAGTGCCAGCCCCAGCACAGCTTGTGCAGAGGCCACCACGACCCTGTGGGTGCAGGTCTTCTCTCAGGCCTTGCATGCTCACTGCAAAGTTCTGGGCGTTTCCACGGGTTTTCTTCTCCACTCAACACAGAGAGAGATCACCCATGGTGTGGAGAGATGGCCCAGCCCCGCAGAGACCCCGCTGCATGGAGAGGTCACCCCAGCCCGTAGAGTTAGTTCCCAAGGCGTGGAGAGGTCACCACAGCCCATAGAGTTCCCAAGGTGTGGAGAGGTCACCCAAGCCCATAGAGACCCCCTGTGTGGAGAGGCCGCCCAGGCCCATAGAGACCCCCAGCTCGTGGGGAGGCGCAGAACAAGCGCAGGAGTCAGCTGACCTGGTGCGTCACACCCTGGGGACTGCCAGTGGGAATGTTCAAAGCTCCGCTGACCGGGGCGCTGCCAGGTCTGGCTGGTGCAGTGGCTTTGCCTCTGCAGTGGGTGTCTCCCCACTTGCCTCCCGTGCTCCCTCCACACCAGCCTGAATGAAGTCAGCTTCCTTTTCTTTAGTAGATTTTCATTTTTGTGGGTACATGGTAGGTGTTTATATTTATGGGCTACATGAGATATTGTGATACAAGCAGGCAATGTGTAATCATCACATCAGGGTAAAGTGCAGGATCCCTCCCTCAGGTGTTGATCCCTTGTGTTCCAGACAATCCAGTTTTAGTCTTTTAGTTATTTTTTAATATACTCAAATTACTTTACTATAGTCACCCTTGTGCTAGCAAATACTAGGTCTTATTTATTCTATGTTTTTGTACGCATCACCACCCCCACTCCCACCCCCACTCCCATCCCCAACTGCTGTTCCGAGCCTCTGGTAACCATTCTTCTACTTACCATCTCCATGAGTTGAGTGGTGTAATTTTTAGCCCCCACAGATAAATGAGAACATACAATGTTTATCTTTCTGTGCCTGGCATATGTCACTTAACACCGTGACCTCCAGTTCCATCCATGTTGTTGTAAATGACAGGACCCCATTCTGTTTGATGGCTGAACGGTCCTCCGTCGTGTGTGTGGCCGTTTCCTTTATCCCCTCATCCGTGGATGGACACTTAACGCTGCTTCCAAGTCGTGGCTGTGGTGAACGGTGTTGGCACACACTCGGGCGTGCAGAGATCTCTCCGATACACCAGTTTCCTTTCTCCGGGGTATATATCTGGGCGTGGGATTGCTGGGTGGTATAGTAGCTCTATTTTTAGGTTTTTGTAGAAACTCCACTGTTCTCCATAGTGGTTGCGCTGATTACATTCCCGCCAACTGTGTGCGAGGGTTGAGGGAAGTTAATTCATGGTAACACCAAGGTTTTCTTCTTTGTCAATTTCTGCTCTTGTGATTATTCATCAGAAGACAGATTCACCGAAGAATGTCATTTCACCGAGTTTGAACCGGCTAGATTGTTTTCAGAAGGTCACAGTTTGGAACCACAGGCTGTCCTCTGAGTCATCAAGGCAGCCCAAGATAATGGTTAAGAGGAAAAGTCCTCCGTGTTCACAGCACATTGTTCTCCATCTGGTGTTAAATAACGGCCCTGCAGGTGAAGAGAGGCCGCCTTTGTCCTCAGCGTGTGGAGACCAGGGAGTCACACGAACGGAAGCCCTCACCTCCTGGGGCGGGTCACGTGGGGAGTGTTGATTGGCAAGATGATCTCAATTCTCTATGCAAATCGCAGCAGCAACAGCAGCTTGTCTTTCAGAGAAAACCGAAACACAAAAGAAGTGCCCAAAAGTTACAAACCAAGCAACAAAAACTGTGGAAAGGGACATGTGCTCAAAACGTATTTGGTACATTTAAAAGGCCACAAGCACAGCGCCTGGTAGGAATGGGGCCGACGTCTTCACAGTTATCACCACTCTCAGGTGACATACTTCATGCTTTTTTTTTTTTTTTTTTGAAGACAGGGTCTCACTCTGTCACCCAGGCTGCAGTGCAGTGGTGAGGTCACTGGCCACTGCAGCCTTGACCTCCCAGGCTCAGGTGATCCTCCCACCTCAGCCTCCCAGGTAGCTGGGGCCATAGGCGCATGCCACCACACCCTGCTGGTTTTGTTGTATTTTTTTAGAGGTGGGGTTTCGCTACATTGTCCAGGCTGGTGTGTAACTCCTGGGCCCAGGTGATCACCTGCCTTAGCCTCCCAACGTGTTGGGATTACAGGCTTGAGCCACCACACTAGTCCTGATGCTTTTCTTAAAAAACATATTCTCTATGTCTGATGTCTACAAATACTTGAAGAACATCCTAAACACCACGTTCACCATCAGCTAGGAGCAGAGTCCCTGCCCATTCATTGTCACCCCATGTCATAGGGGGATGTTGAAAATGTGTCCCCGTGGGTGAACCGGACGAGGAGAAGATGGTGCACATACACTGTGAAATACCCACTCAGCCGTCAGAAAGAACCACACCTTGTCCTTTGCAGCCACATGGATGTAGCTGGAAGCCATGATCCTAAGTGAGTCAACACAGAAACAGAAAACCAAATACTGAATGTTTTCACTCGTAAGTGGGAGCTAAACAGTGGACTCACGTGGACATACAGAAGCAGAAAATAAACACCAGGGATGACCAGCGGAGGGAGCCTGGGGTGGGGGAAGGGTTGAAAAACGACCTGTTGGATCCCATGCTGACCACCTGGGTGATGGCTTCAGCTGCAGCCCACCCTCAGCATCACACAGTATACTCAGGTCACAAACCTCTGCACATACCTCCTGAATCTAAAATAAAGTTGCATTTACAATAAAGAAAATATCAAATGTTTAATATCTTTTTAAAGTTTGTGTGAACATCCCTTGACAGATTGTTTTCATCCAGGGAAATCTGCTGAACTGAGAATATATTATAACAAAGTCCAGACACAAACTCATTCCCATGACTTTGTCTTCATTTGGAATGTTGCAGATCCTGGTCAATTTGGAGCAAGGCTTGGCAGAAGATGGCGGCGCGAGCGGTGTGACTCCGGAGGGCAGACAAGGTTGGCCGGCCAGACTTCTGACGAGATGCTTCTCGGACGTGACTGAGGGCTGTCGCCCCAGGCCTCCGGCTTCCTCTCCTTCTTTCCCTTTTGCAGTCAGCACTGCATGCATCCGTTCGTGGATTTGCCGCTCACTCCCTTCTCAGGGAAGCCGAGCACGTCACCCGGTGACGCTGTGGGTGCAGTGTGCGCCTTCCGACCTGCGCCCTGTGCACAGGGGAGAGGACACACCCTCACCACAGAAGCACACAGCCCGGAACCTGCCGCGCCGAGTGGTGGTCTGAGCGGGCACGAGGGAGGCGCAGCCCAGCTAAAGGGCCCAAAGAGGCCTCCGCATTGGGGATGGAGGCTCAGGAGGAACAGGAGAGGAAACGGGTGCTGGCCAGAGCCTGGGGGCAGGCTGAGAGGGCTGGGCAGTTCCCTGGACCAGTGGCAACCGTCTGGGGGATTGGGTGGGTTGACATGAGCTGACCTCCACAGTGAGGCCATGCCAGCTGCAGCTCAGAGAACAAGCTTCGATCACACCTGGAAACCCAGCCTGATGGCTCCTCCCGGTCAGCCCCACCCTGTGCTCACTGCCTCACCCCTGGTGGCAGCGTCCCCCCACGGTCCTTGTTGGCTGGTCATCTCCTCCTCCCCATAGCTTCTGTCCTACTCCATGTGCAAGCCAGGTCGAGACCAGGTGGCCTCTGGCTCCGCAGGTGTGCTGGGGTTTCTGGGGAACTGCTGGCTGGTGTGAACTGTATGTGTATGTGTGGTGTGGGCACTTGTGCGCTCTTTTTAGTCATTTAATTGCATGCAGAGTAACAAGGTCTGAAGGAGAGACGTCACCATCACCATCTGCTCTTGGCTGTCCCATTCAGCATTCTTGGCACCCAGCCGTTTTACCCCTTCCTGGGCTCCGGCTTTGGTGGGAATGAGCATGTAGTTACTAGAGGTCAGAAGGCTCTTCCTGGATATGGAACAGAAGACCGCACAGAGGAGCGTCCCTAAGGAGGGCAGGGGTTGCAGAGCAGGGGTCTGCAGAGATCCTCGGAGTAAATATGCAGAGATCCTCAGAGTAAATACGCAGTTCAGTTCAGTCCGTAGTTCACATCCATTAGGAGAAGATATTCAGAATTTCCTTTCGTAGAAATAATGGTACAAGGGGAACATAGAAAGCTAATGTGTTTTTAATTGCTGAAAGGCAAAGTGAGTCAAGTTTTCGATTTTAGCAGTTCGTTTCTGGGTGTTCTCCTGAAGCACACCTTGAGTACACATCATTTCTAGGTGACTGTGACCTCACAGTGCATCCTCCGCATCAGCAGCGGGAGGAAGGTCAGCTTCTGGGCTCCTGAATCACAGCCTCAGAAGCAGCCAGGGACACGCGGCTCCCAGTGCCCGGCAGTGAGGGAGGCCAGGAGTGCTCCCAGGGGCTGGTGCTGCTCGTGGTAGCCTCCTGGCACTTGGCAGTTAGAAGTGTGGACTTTTCTTGGAGGAAGTGGACACAGCACAGGCACAAGAGGACTGGACGAGAGATCAAATGGACACATCCCTGGCCTGTCGGGACCTCAGCCTGCCTGTCAATAACATACCCATTTCAGATCAGCTCAGTCCTCAACCTGCGCCTTCCTCCTGGTCATCCCAGTGATAAACAGATGCCACTGGTCAGCCCGCCCTCCCCCAGGGCAGCTCCCAGGGGACCTTTGCAGACCCCAACAAGTCCACAAAGCCAGTTTGAAAACTACTAAAAGTGGGGGGAAGGCTGCTAACTAACGGATGTGCAGGGGAGAGCAGGGAGGGGCAGGCCAGGCTCGGGGTCATGGCCAGCCAGCATGTGGCAGCGGGGGGCTAGGAAAGCAGGCCAGCTGCGGAGTGCGGAGTCCCCAGGGGAGTGTGTGCCAGCCACTTGAGTTCTGGGCCAGGGGGCGTGGCACCCCTTGGGGAATCAGCATCTGCATGGCCCGGAGGCAGGGGAAGCCTTGTGGCTGGCTGAGCATGGGTGGGGCCCTCTGGGTAGCCTCTCACGGGGCAGCTGCAAGAGGCTGGCGGCCACTCTGGCCAGTGGCCCTCCAGGCCTGTCGAGCCGTAGGCAGTGTCGTTTCTGTCAGCTTTGTTCCTTTTCTCAGGGTTCTGGCTTTGGCAGCGGGGCTCCTAGTCAGGCCGTTTGGCCTTGTGTCTGGGCCAGTGCTGACCAGCCACCCTCCTGGTTCTCACTCCTGCCTCCTTGATGCCGAAGGTCTCTGCCCAAAGCCACCCCCGGTCCCAATGCAGGTGCTGTGTTTTCCACCTCAATGTAGCCTGCAGTGCATTCAACATTCCAGGCCAAAATCCAGTGGCATTAACAAGAGGGATCTTTTCAGGTTAAATCAGAATTCACAGGACCTGGTAATTGATGGCTAGAAAGAGCCTCCAAGTTATTTGTGCACTCACAGTCTGCTCTTACCTTGCAGCCTCTATTCGGCTGTGGAGGTCACGTCTGGGCCGGGTGATGTACTCCATGGCAAACTGTCTGCTCCTGATGAAGGTACGTGTGTGGCCGAGCAGGGCTGCCATGTGGTCTGGAAGAGAGGGGTCGGAATGAGCCTCAGGGGAGCCGCTGGTATAATAGATGCTGGCAGGGACAGGAAGCAGGTAGCCTGTGCAGAGAAGCCAGCTAAGTACCGGCTTAACAGGGAGCCCAGTGGCACATTCCGGGCTCTTTACTTTCATTTCTACTGCAAGAAATTTCAACAGAAGGTAGAATTTACATGATCAGATTTCATTATTGAAACGTGGGTCTAAATGATTTAATGGAAAGCATTGTTCATCTTCCCCCGTTTTTCTCTGAATTCCATCCCCAAAGGGTGTCCTTTGTTCTCGCTGTCTTCCTGGAGGATGTTTTTTCACCCCTTGGTTTTGATTTTATGATTGATGATCATAACACCTGAAGACAGGCTTTCCCATGAGATCCCTGCTTAGGACGTCACCCCAGAGCTCTTAGCCCCCAGGGAAACAGCTGAGAACTCAAGGAGCTGAACTCAGACTGTCATTTGTTTTTCCACGTCTCCTGGCTCTCGCCAGCCTGTGCCATGGTGTTTCTGGCTCCTCTTTTTGTTTGGAACACACCCCATGCCTGGCTCATCTCCCACACTGGGCGTCAGGGTGCTGTGTGGGAGCTGGTGGCCCTGCAGCCAGCTGTGGGCCCTGGGAGTGGCTGCAAGAATCAGTGAACAGCAGGTGCCTCGGAGCAGTACTCATACCACCTTCTGGGCTGTTCTAAGACAGTGATCATAGCTCCTCCCACACCCACATGGCTTTCCTGCAGCCAAGGTCATTCCTGAGCTTGATTTTCAGAAAGGCAGAGCAGGCAATTTACCAGGTGGAGAACTGTGCTCATGGGCTCGGTCATGAACCCTCAAGTGGCAGCCCTGCTTTATGCCCAGACCCCACGGCATCCTCAGGTCACTGTGACCCTGGGCACTGCTTCAAGCGGGCTGGGTGTGGGTGTAGATTCACAGCCATCAGCAGCTCAGGCATTCCATCAGGAAGACATGCAGCCCGCGCCCCAGCTTTAGTGCAGGGCCACTGCCTCTACAGCTCTGCAGCAGCATGGGGCTGGACGCACAGGGAGATTCAGGGTGTCCTGTTTGTCCTCAGTAGCAAGCAACTGTGACGTAGCCTTGCACTGCTGCAAGCCTCAGCCACCTCCTTTAAAATATAGGCGTTGAACTGAGATCGCTGAAATCCCTTCCAGCTCTGGTATTCACACAGCTCTTTCCTTCCTTCAACACACTGGATAAAGGAAATTAGGGTTTTTAAGTTCTCTGGTTTTACTCAGAGCAGGTTTGACTTCTGTTACCACCCCTGAGATATTCCCACTGAGGTCAGGGGCCTGCACAGCCACTTGGTTCTATTCCTTGCCCCCTTTTGCCCAGCCCCCTTCCCTCTCCAGCCCCCTTCCCTCTCCAGCCCCCTTCCCTCTCCAGCGCCCTTCCGTGTCCAGCCCCTTTCCCTCTCTAGCGCCCTTCCCTCTCCAGCGCCCTTCCCTCTCCAGCGCCCTTCCCTCTCCAGCCTCCTTCCCCGTCCAACCCCCTTCCCTCTCCAGCGCCCTTCCCCGTCCAGTCCCCCTTCCCCCTCCAGTCCCCTTCCCTCTCCAGCGCCCTTCCCTCTCCAGCCCCCTTCCCTATCCAGCCCCCTTCCCTCTCCAGCGCCCTTCCCTCTCCAGCCCCCCTTCCCCCTCCAGCCCCCCTTCCCCCTCCAGCCCCCTTCCCTCTCCAGTGCCCTTCCCTGTCCAGCCACCTTCCCTATCCAGCGCCCTTCCCTCTCCAGCCCCCTTCCCTCTCCAGCGCCCTTCCCTGTCCAGCCCCCTTCCCTCTCCAGCCCCCTTCCCTCTCCAGCGCCCTTCCCTCTCCAGCGCCCTTCCCTCTCCAGCGCCCTTCCCTCTCCAGCCCCCTTCCCTGTCCAACCCCCTTCCCTCTCCAGCGCCCTTCCCCGTCCAGCCCCCCTTCCCCCTCCAGTCCCCTTCCCTCTCCAGCGCCCTTCCCTATCCAGCCCCCTTCCCTCTCCAGCCCCCTTCCCTCTCCAGCACCCTCTGGCTTCCACAGCAGAGACTGCCCACCTCTTGAGTGAGAGTGAAAAGTAGGCCCTTCCACTCCCCTGCCCCGGGCCTTCCGGGCCTCCCTGCTGGAAGGCGGGAGGTGACCCCAAAGCACCCAGCCTGACCCCTCTGCCCCCCAAAACAGGCCAGTCTCCCAGCGCTGCCTGTGGCCAGCCCTGACACCCCCACCTGGCAGCCTGGGCAGTCTGCAGTAGGCCTCTGCCTGCTGAGGACACTGTCAGCTTCACCTGAAAGTCACCAGCTTGCCAGAATGTTCTTAGGCAAAGGCATGAAGAACAAATTATAAATTCACAGGACTGACTTTCATTAATCATGGGGCTAAAACTCCCCAGGGAGGAAAGTTCCCTGTTCCAGTGGCAGCTTTTATTTGCGTTTTAAGGCACATGAATAGAAAATGATGGAACGGGCTTTCTGCTGTAGCAGTAACAGCACCACCAGGCTCCAAATGTGAGTCTTCCTCCTGTATTGCTGGGGCTTACTACAGAACATATTACTGCATTTCAAACATACTTTTACAGTGGACGTGATTTAATTTGAAAGTTGAGCTTAAGCTTTCATTTTCTTGAGTTAAAAAAAGGAGTAAATAATTTGCAATTAAAGCCAACCCAAGCATATGCGCTCTCTTGCCATCTAGTGGGCACACAGGGTGTTGCAACAGTGAGTGGTCTCAATACTAAGGGTATCCTGTTAATTAAATTATGTGTGTGGGCTAACAATGAGTTATTTAATCAGCCATTTAATTATCTTGAATAACATTTTTATTGCATTGAAATAAATATCAATTTAACTTCTTAACGATGAATATATTCATACATTTTAGCCCTGGATATCTTCATGATATGCTGTAATGCACAGTGGCATGTATTATTAAGCATTGAAAATGTCACTTCACGCCTCACTGTAGCCTTAGGGCAGGCCACATGGATGTAGGTGCCCACCTCCTTAGCTGGCCTGGCCATCCCTTCCCGGGCACCCCTGGGAGTCCAATTCCCTCCTGCTGCGTGCCCACAGCTCGCCACCCTGCTCCTCACCACCCGCTGTGGCTCCGCACGTCATGGAGGGGAGCACGCAGCTGCATCAGCTACCTACCTTCAGCTGTCTTGCTGAGATTACACTGCACGAGTCCTTTCTGGTGGCCGAAAGGTTGTCAGTCTAGTTTCACAGCCACTAAACACGTGGCTGCTGAGAAGAAATGGTGAAGATTGAGCTAAAATAGGCTTATCCCTGGAAGCAAGTCATTCATGTCCTTTCCACAGCCAAATCTACATGATCTGGAGAGTAGGTTAAGCCCTCTCCACAGAGCTGCTTTTGGTCATTTTCCCTGAAAAGGGCTGTGTCCCCTCTATCGTCAGTAAATAAAGTCACTGAATAACGGTCAACCTGAGGAAACTTTCTGACACAGTCCCAGTTCATCGTCTGGTTTACTTGATGATGGGTTCCTTGAAGGCTGCCAGGATTCTTTCCCCTCTGACGCCTGGACTCACATCCTGCCCACACCTGCAGACTGGCGAGCACTGGTGTCACTGAGCTGGTGGGAGTGGCTGCCAGCTGGTGCGGGCCCCCGAGATCCCCTCTCTGCCACCTGCCCCCGGCCTGGAATCCAGCTTCCTCACGTGGCTCCCAACCCCGTGCAGCCACTCTTCCAGAAGAGCCATGCCTAAAATAACTTTTCCCATCAAGGATCATGGCTTGGTTTTTTAAAAACCTGTCCTTTGTCATGTTAGATTATCTTCAGAACACTGACCCCTGGCCCCGAGCAATCAAAAGAGTGGTTGGGGGGTGTGGCTGGCCACAGGGTCACCCACTAGCAGCAGGTGCTGCACCCCACCAGTGGCCCGCCCCGCGCACTCTGCGGTGGCCGCCTCAGGCTGGAGCATCAGCAGTGGGAGTGCGGCACGGGAAGGACCCAGTGACGGCCGGGCTAACAACAAGAAAGTCAGAGCCCGACTTTTGTCTACGGGAAACTAAAGGAGGGGGCGTGTGTGGGATTAGAACACACACTGCTTAGTATGGTGGGTGCTCGGGAACCCACTGCCTTCCCCAGAGAAGCCGAGAGGGGTAGCTACTGCTTGTCCCCGAGCTGGGGCTAGGCAGTGGGTGCAGCCCCTGTCGTAAGGCAGGGCTGCTCCCCTAAACTTCTCAGAGCGGGACTAGCCCAGGCTGCACAGTCCCCGCGGCAGCATCAGGGGTGTCACATCCATCCCAGCCACAAGCTTGGCCACCCCGAGTGCCCCGTGCCAGCTCACAAAGCCCTCCTCTGTGCAAGGGCGCTCTCTCTCTCTCTCTCTCTCTCTCTCTCTCTCTCTCTCTCACACACACACACACACACACACACACACACACACACACAACTAGACAGCAGTGGCAGGCAGCAGGAAGGCGTGGGAAAGGAGACCAAGGCATGTGCTGTCTGGCTCCTCATGAGCATCGGGCCTTGAATAAAATTAGTTTTAATGAGCTATACTCGAAGGTACTAGACTGGAGAGAGTCCTTTTTTTTTTTTTTCTTCCTACCAAACTGGAAGTGTCCTTGCCTGTCTTTCTTTGTGACATCCCAATCAGCAAGCTAGTAACTCCAGTCCCAGTTTGTAGGAAATGGAACTTGTAGAAGAGTAAAGAAATGAAAGTACCTTCTGGGAATTTATGATGAATAAGAAGAAAAAGACCATTGGTGGCCATAGTTACTGCTGACCTCGTGCTTAGAGCTCCGTGCCAGAAAGCAGGGAAGCATTTAGCGCAGGCTGCTGCCGTGGTGCCCGTCCCCTTAGCTGGCCTGGCCCTGCACTCCTGGGCAGGCACGGGAGGCTCCGTGAGGGATCCGGAGAAGGGCCTTGGCAGAAAGCAGATGCCCGAGCACAGCGGCCAGCAGAGCACTCCTAAATGTTCCCCCCCAGCTGTCCCCACAGAGAGCAGACGACAGTCACACATTCTCTGCAGGGGCCACCTCGGTCACCACACTCACCCTCGGCAAAGCTGTTTTGTGAGTTTTCTTTACATTTAGAGATCTGACCTTAGTTTCTAGCATGGAAAATGTTTAAGAGATGCTTTAAAAATTTGGCTTATGTGTTTGGAGGATGGAGCTGAGACAGAGTTCGCCAATTCACATAACTGTCAGGACAGAAAGAGGTGCAGCCTGAGTGAAATACAAGTCACTGTTTAGAAGCTGGAAGCAGGAAACAGACCCCTCAGGCCCAGCTAAACCCCGACAGCCCCCGTGACAGGGAGGACAGCGCCTGCCCGATGCACACGGCTCAGAGTCCCAGCCTGACTGCAGTTGCGAGGGCGACCAGCACCACACGCTGCTGTCCAGCCTCTCCGCCAGGCCACGTGCCCGCGTGTCCTGTGCACACCGCATCTGTACACGCTCATGCTCTTCTCAGTGTGTGAAGCCCACAGTGCTGTTCTCAGGGTGTCTTTCTTCCCGCAGGATTACGTGCTCGCCGTGGAGGCCTATCATTCGGTCATCACGTATTACCCAGAGCAGGAGCCCCAGCTGCTCAGCGGCATCGGACGGATCGCCCTGCAGGTAGGTACCTGTGCGCGGTGAGCTGTGAGCCAGGAGTGAGAACGCCCTGTGATAGGAGGTCTTGCTTGCGTGGGCGAGTGTTTGCTTTGGGTCATTTTACCATAAGAAAGAGTGCCGAAAACAGTCCATTTCAGATGTGTGTGACCGTGAAGAGGGCCGGTTCCTTCCAGGCACTCCGGCGTGCCTGTGGGAAGCCCCGCCGGCTCATGCGCCTGTCGCTCAGTGTGAGCCCACATCAGCTGTCCTCGCAGCTAGCCTGCCCTGCTGCAGTCAGAACAGCACTGACTGAACCGTGAGGAGTCTGTTCAGCTCAGCCTGGAACGGTCACTCGCTGATACTTTGCCTGAAAGAGCCCTTGGATCATGGTTGCTGGACAGAGGAAAGTCCAGACTTCATGAACAGTGGTCTCAGCGAGGCACAAGCTGGGACAGGACGCCCTTTGCTAAGAATGGCCTTGAAGCTGGAATGCCTTGTCCTGGAATATTTGGTGACAGGAAGGTCACGGGAGCATTGAGTCCCGCCCTCTCTCAGTCCGTCCCGCGCTTGCAGCCGACTACAGGGCAGCTTCTGCCCCTCACTCTCGGTCTTCTGAGGTCACGTCCCAAATCTGGGCCAGGGGAAAGAGGCACGACCGAGGGACGGCTGAGGGGGAGCAGCCCAGACCTTCCACAAGCACCCACGCCAGGGACAGCTGAGGGGGAGCAGCACAGACCTTCCACAGGCACCCACGCGAGGGACGGCTGAGGGGGAGCACAGACCTTCCACAGGCACCCACACACCATGAGCCAGGCCCTGCGCTGAGCATTTAACCCACGGTGGGACCGGCCTGTTTTACACAGCAGCCAACTGAGGTCCCCGGTTCAGTGAGATCCAGCTACAGGAGGCCACGTAGATCACAGGGGAGCCAGAATTCGAAGAGGGCCTCTGCGAACTCAGGGTCTGCGCTCTCCACGAGCCACTGGTCCTCTTCTCTCCCCAACCCCGTGGCTCACACAGGCACTGACACTCATCTGCACACATGCACACGTCTCCTGCACACTGCCTGCTTGTGGAAGCCCTTGCGGGACACAGGATGGTGTTCGAGGACAGCCCTTCCCAGGGGCCCCTCGCGTGGGGCACAGCCGATGACTCACTGAATAACCCAGGGCAGGCGCAGACGCGTGAGCTGCCCTGTGACCGTCGGCTCCCCCGGCCCTGGGATGCCTGCAGCAACCCTTGTTACCTGTGAGAAAGCCCCATGTGGCCGGGACCTCCAGGGTGCCTGACGTGTCATCTGGTTATCAAAGCAACATAGTACCCCGGGCCTGCCCACATTCCTCACTGCCCTGGAGATGATCTCAGAAGTTTTATTTCTGAGCCATGTTTTGCACAATTGGAGAAGTAGATGCTGGAATCACTTTTGCATCTGGAAGCGCCGCTCCTTCCAGTGGGAGCCACTGGCTTGACCACACTGAGGGTTCTGGCAGTGAGGCTGGAGTCTCAGGAGGGAGGCTGAGCTTCCACAGCATGCTGTAAGCCCCCATCCAGTGTAGGAAACGTGCTAAACTGGCCGTGGGGGAAGCCCTCGGCGTTCGCTGTTCTCAGGACCCCAGGAGGGGATGGGGGCACTGCCTCTGGGCAGGAGCTTCTGCCAAAGGAGAACAGAGAGAAAGACAGAGGCGCGTGGGCTGAGCGGACTCACTGAAGCCCCACACAAGGGCCGTCCCATCCACATCTGTTGCCAGTTAATGACTAGACCTCTCTCACTGATATTTTTATTGTTGCTGAAGAACAAAGTTGCTGAATTCCATGTTTTTCTAAAGGAAATGAAGATTGCAATACTTAGCCGCCTGGGACATCTCTTAAGATGCCGTGTGCCATGGCGCTGCGGGACCCCTCCTGCAGCCTCGACCTGCCTCCATCTCTATGCGGCTGGAAAACTCAGCCCCCGCTAAGTTCCTGCTTCGGCAGGTCAGCATGTTGTTGAAGATGCGGGATCTCAGAAGAAAGATGAAGCAGGCAGGTTTGCCCTCCAAGAACACAGCCATTTGTGACCCTTTGCTCAGTGCCCAGAATTATGCTATGCATTTCTTGGAAAGAACAAGGATTGCTATTCAAAAGTGGAATACATGTTGAAATAATAAAGTGGAAAGTCTGCTCCTCAGAGCCTCTCACAAAGTGAGGACACCTGTGCTGTCCTTGGCATTCGCCAGTGTGTCTTCTCGTCCGATCTGGCAGCTGCTGGTGTGATAAGTGAGTTTCCCATTTTTCGCTCATATTTTAGAGCCACTTACATTCGATGCAAAATTTTAAACACAAAGAAGAGGTGCAGGGACAGTGTTCTCAGAAGGGGTGCACCCGCCAGCCAAGTGGCAGCTATCTATGGAAAACTCCCTGTCCCTTCACCGTCATCACACAGAGCCTGCCCAGAGCACCAGAGCCTTCCACACAGAAGGGCATTGGGTTAGGAGGAGAAAGAGTGGGGCCAAATGGGAATTTCCACTTCTGAAAGAAATCTGTGTTGTAAGCGAGATTTGAAACATTTGTATTCCAGAGCAGTTTCTCACATAATCTCAATTAAGGAAGGGCAGAAGCAATCGATCTTCACACAGAAGCAGCGTTATATTTATACTTCTTCAAATTACTTCACTCCCACTTAGATTCTGCCTCCTCAGAAGCTCCTGACTTGGGTCTCAGAGGGTCCTCACGTGGACGTGGGTCTTGGAGGACCACACTGGACTGGGAAAGCAGCTTGGCGCACAGCAGCCAAGCACAGACGAGGGGCATGTGCGTGGCATGGGGGCAGCTGAGCACAGGGCGGTTCTACGGTGTCGTGGTCAGTCCCAGGCCTCAGTGTCCTGGACCGAAAGGCAGAGCCGAAGGTCAGCAGGCAGGAGAAAGCCTCAGCCACCGCAGGAGCGGCAGGAAGTCTGGGATGAACCAGCCACCCCAGGCAGGACGAAGCGGGACAGCCAACGCTGTGGCTGAGAGGGCCTCAGCAGGAACCGAGGTCACCTCTGACCCAGTTCCCAGAGGGCAGGGACCCCGGGCAGGGGGACAGACACCGCGGTGGAGGGAGAGAAGGAAGGGCCAGGGAGGCGCTGTTAAGCTGGGAAAGACCTGAGCGTGTTTTACAGAGGGACACGGCTCCAGGCCGTCTCAGCCAGGAGGGTGGTTTCATGCGCACGGCCGTATACCAGAATCCCTCAGCTTGTACAGTCTGAAGACATGCAGGTTCCTGTGCCTCAGCCATAGCTCAGCGGAGACCTTCGGACAGAAAAATAAGAGACTGACTGCTGGCTGCCAGCCTGAGGCGTGGAGGGTGCCGGCTGCGGCCAGGGATAGGGTGGGGAGGGCACCCTGCGGCCCCTGCCACCCCGTCAGGCCTCGTCATCCTGGATGTGACACCCAAGTGCAAGCAAAACAAAAAAGAGATAAATGGGATTTCACCACAACTAAAAGCTGTCGTGCTTTAAACCGTAAGGAAAAGGTAAGGACAAGCTACAGAATGGGAGAGATTGTTTGCAAATCTCCTATATCCGACAAGAGACTTACACCTAGAATACGTAAAGAGCTCTTACTAAAGGAAAAATGATTCATGGCTCTTCCACGCAGAAGGGGAGAGCCTGGACGCAACTCCAACTTCAAGGAGGACAGGTGGGAATTTACAGCCAAAGACCGCATCAGGGTCAGGGTCAGCGTCAGTGGATGGAAATTACCCAGAGGAAGCATCAGGAAGGGGTTTCTGGCCAGGCAGACTTGATAGGGTCACTGCTGACAGCCGTCCAGGGTGCTAGGAGCCCCAGGTGCCCAGACACTGAGGGCAGGGATTTTTCCTAAACTGATTTAGCAGGATTCTTGCTCACGCTGGATTCTGCAAGGACAGAGAAGGAAGCCAAGGTCGAGCTTGTCTAGCAGAGGAGGCTTCTGCACAGTGCAGCCGAATTTATGCATTGACAGCCGGCCTGGTTCCCAGCAGGCCTTCGGGTTCTGCGAGAGAGCAGGTGAGGGAGGGTCTGAGGAAAGGAGAGGACCCCTGGGGCCCCCTCTGCCAGGCTCACAGTGGGGTGGGAGGAGGAGCTGGGGAAGGAGAGCTCAAAAACACAGAAGAGACGCTAGATGTTCTGAAATCTGCATCTTGCTTTTCTTTGTTTGGGTACACTAGCCTGAGGGCATCTGCCCAGTTGAAATGTAACAGTTTTTCTGATAAGCATGTTTTATAACATAAAAATTCAGACTTAAACAAGTTTTCTGTGTGGGCTTGGGGTGGCGCTTTTTTGGTGGCTTGTTTTGTTTTTGAGACAGGCTCTGTCACACAGGCTGGAGTGCAGGGGCACAAATGCAGCTTACTGCAGCCGTGACCTCCTGGGCTCAAGCAGTCCTCCCGCCTCAGCCTCCCAAGTAGCTGGCACTATAGGAATGTGCCACCATGCCCAGCTAAGGTTTTTGTAGATATGTGGTCTCACCGTGCAGCACAGGCTGATCTCAAACTCCTGGCCTCAAGTAAACCTGCTGCCTCTGCCTCCCAGAGTGCTGGGATTACAGGCATGAACCACTGTGCCCAGCTGAAATGAGTTTTCTGTATCACTTTCAGACCTAGGTTTCTGTGACTCGTTTATCAGTAGTAAATATGAAAAGAACTAGGATTTCTAGCTGACTACAGATTTAATACCATCTGAAAACCTCATGTGGCTGTGAAAATAGCTCTGCTGTCTTTGGATGGTTTAAAGTCATCTGACGCCTACACTACAAAGAAGAATCCTTCTTGCCTTCCTCTCCACGAAACAGCTCACAGCCACGGACTACAGGACACTCTGCCTTGAGGATGCTTTAAAACAGCCATTGCCCATCTGTAATGGCTTCTGTGCCACCAAGGTGGTGAGGAATCCCAGAACTGTGACAGAGAAGCAGGTGAAAGAGCTGAGAACCGGAGCAGTCTTCCCCACCAGGAGGGCCGCCAGGTGCAGAACACAGCGGTCGAGAAGACATGGGCTGGGTTGGGAGGCAGCGGCCTCGCCTGCCCTGGCAGAGTCCCAGGGGTCCAGCAGCTGTGCAGGGCGCTCCCTACACGCACTGGCTCTCCACCCAGGCTGCCCTCTCCTGTCGCCCTACCGTCTGGAGCCTGTGCCCTCCAGGTTGCTGCCGGAGGGGAGGATCCAGCCCAGGCCAGATGCACACCCGCGCCCTCCTCCACCCCGCCCAATGCCTGTATCAGTCGGGGCTCTCTAGAGGGATAGGACTCATAGGAGAGGTGCATATATGGAGGGGAGTTCATCAAGATCACAAGGGGAAGTCCCACAATAGGCCGTCTGCAAGCCGGGGAGCAGGGAAGCCAGCCCGAGTCCCAAAACCTCGGAAGCAGGGAAGCCGACAGTGTGGCCTTCCGTCTGCGACCACGGCCTGGGAGCCCCTGGCAAATCACTGGTGTACATCCAAGAGTCCAGAAGCCGAAGAACCTGGAGTCTGATGTTGGAGGGCAGGAGGCACCCAGCGTAGGAGAACCATGAGCCGGGAGGCGCGGAACATCTGCTCCTGCAGCTTCTGCCGGCTAATGAGATGGGGCCCACCCAGACTGCGGGTGCGTCTGCCTCCCCCAGCCCACTGACTCCCATGCCATCCCCTTAGGCAGCACCCTCACAGACACACCCAGGAACAGGACTTAGCATCCGCTCATCCAGTCGAGTTGACACTCGGTATGAACCGTCACAGCTCCCAGGGAGGGGAGAGCCAGGCCCTGCGCACAGCCCTGGTTTCTGCCCCAGGAACACTGAGCACAGAAGCGGCAGGGTGGCGCCCCGCGACTGCACTGCCTGGGTTTTGTGTTTATGACGTTGGTGTCTGGTTTGTGTGTGAACGGGTGACTTCTCAAAAGCAGGTTTGGTGATTTAGAGTTTTCTAGAAAGCCCCCTGGGTTTGGCCGCTGCTTTGTCATGGACTTGCACAGAATAAAGACGGTGCTCTTACCATGACATCAATGACCTTGTTTCCACCTTGTACATTTCTGTTTGTTTATGCTTTCTTTTTCTAGCTTAGTTTGTACACTTATTATTTTTTGGTTTTTGGTTTTGAGGCAAGGTCTTGCTCTCCTCCCAGGCTGGAGTGCAGTGGCGTAATTATGGTTCGCTGCAGAACTCCTGGGCTAAGAGATCCTCCTGCCTCAGGCTGTCATGTAGCTGGGGACCGCAGACGCTTAGGCCACACCTGGCTTTTTTTTTTTTTTTTTTTTTTTTGGTAGAGACAGGGACTCACTTTGTTCCCCAGTCTAGTCTTGAACTCTTGAGATTAAGCAATCCTCCCACCTTGGCCTCCCAAAGGGCTGGGATTAGAGGTGTGAGCCACCACGCCCAGCCACTGTTTTTTCTTTTTAATACTATCTTTTGCTGATTTGTTTTCTACATGTTCTGGAATACTTTTACTTGCCTTTTTATGTTTAATTTTTTCAGTTGCTCCTTTTAGAAATCGGTAGGATTTTATATCCTAATTACATTTTAATAATTCTGAAAATATCAACTTACTTTTCAATCTTCAGGAAATCAGTGGCTAGCAAAGAATATCCCAAGATGGCTCTGTTGTCTTCCTCTGAGACATTGTTTCAGTAAAGCCCCGTGCCAGCCCCATGAGGCCTTGCCGTGCGGAGGATCGGCACGTGGTCTGAGTGCTGGACAGGCCTGGGTGTCGACCCCACACGTTCTGTGTTAGCTGTGATGACCTCAGAAAATTGCCTCATCTTTCCAAGCCTCACTGTTTCATCTAGAAAGCAAAGCTGGTGACAGCTTTGGCCATTACGAGGGCAGGAGAGCTGTGCCCGCAACACTCGCCACAGCGCCGGCTCGCGTTAATCTTGATCGGTCTTGATTATGAGCTGTAATCATCTTCAGATCAGTATCAAACACTGTCCTGTTAACCAGGACGTTTGTGAATGCAGGACACCCAGCTGTGGGAGCTGAGGGCCACGCTGTGGAGCCCACATGGCCTCTGGTTTCTTTTTAGTCAGCAAGTGAGAAGTCCACAGTCGTAGACTTGAGAGGCTTCAGACCCCGCGGGCGAGGGCCGTGGTGGACGGGAGCTGCTGCGTGTGGCGTGTGCTCGCCTGCGTTTTGTGTCTCGTTCTGTTTCGTTTTTCTCCCTCCTCGTAAGGTATTTCTTTTGTGGGGTAACAGCAACAGTTGTGAAGGGCCTGAGATGTTATTCTGTGTGCAAGTTGTGGAGTTAGCTGCTGTTTTCCTGGATGCCGGCAAAACAGATAAGATTCCTAGGTCAGAGACGAAGGAGATTTCTCAAAGCAGTGGCATGGCCAGAGTGGCGTTCTCACCGGACGTGCGGCCCCAATTCCTCAGGGTCTTCACCGGGGACCTGATGATGCTGGCAGAGGGCTGTGCCGGAGAGGAGTCCTGAACTTAGAACACCAAGTCCTTGCTACTGGGAGGTGAGCCTGCCTGCCCTTCGCCCCAGACGGATGCCGTTTAGCTTAGAAGGCCGCCCTCCAAACAGGCATCCTCGTGTGGATGCTCTGAACAAAACCCTGTCAGCGTCTGTGCTTGGAAGACATGCAGAAACACGACAGACCCCTGAGAACCATCTCCCAGCCAGTCATCGGAGAATGTGCGGGCTTATTTTAATGCTGGACAGATGCTTTCCAGGAAGTCTAAGAGTTTACTAGACTGCTGAGCGATTGATCCCCTCAGCCTCCTCCTCACGGAGCTGAGCTGAGCAGCACACCTTGAGCTTGTTTCTCTGGGGACAGAGGACAACGTTCTGGAAGCTTCTGCCGCAGCTGTGGGGCAGAGCTCGCTGCTGGAGAGTCCGACGCCCGCGGGCGGTGTCCCGGACACAAAGCAGCTCTGTCTTCACCCTCGTGAGCACAGTCTGGGCCATAACAGGACTGTCCTTCCATTTTTACCTATTCCTGTAAGCCTTAGATCCTATATTCCCTTCCCTGTGCTTCTGGAGGTGGAAGAAAACCTGAGTCTGCCTTTGTAGAACCAAGCTGTGGGGTCAGGAGTCGGGGCCCCTGGGCCGCAGCCCTGCTGGTCCGGCTGCGTTTGCTTCAGGCAGCCGCGGGCTCCTAACATGTGCGCTAAGAGTGGGTTTGAGTTTGGGTTTGGTCCGGCCTGTTTTTTACAGTAGAATTCTGTATTATTTGGTCAAAATGTTACTTTGAAATTTGCAAATGTGATGGCACCTACCATTTTTCTGGCCACAGATAACTCATAAGTTGACTTGGGGTCTGCTCATATTATACCAGTATTTTATGTTTCATCTTATTATTCATTTTATTTTACCTCATGCTCTGCCAGAATTCATTCCAAAAGGTAGAAATGACTAAACTATAAAGCTTTCAAATAAGGCACGGATACTAGCAGCTTGGTCTCTGACTCAGAGTCAGCGCTCCACGGTTCGGTGAACGTCTCCTCTCCTCACAGAAAAGCAACGATCACTCAATGGGCACTCGGGTTTCCTCTGCCCGACACACACGGTCTTCACGTTCTAACGTGCCATTAGGGAACTAAACATGTGGGTATAGACTTCGTATTTCTTTTGTCAACTAAACTAACTAAGTGATTTTGTCAAGGCAGATTGGAGACATAAAAACGGCTGAAAAGTATTTTCAAGACGTTGAGAAAGTAACGCAGAAATTGGATGGACTACAGGGTAAAATCATGGTTTTAATGAACAGGTAACTATTTTAAAACTAAACGGATGTTTTCTATTTCCCAGCGGAGTGCGAGCCCCGCCGACCGAGCGGGAGAGCCCCCTAGAGCGCCCCTCTCTGCCTCTCTTGCCCTGTGTCTCTCAGAGCTGAGACACGAGAAGCGTACGGGTGTTCCCCGAATGCTGGTGATGTGCCTTTAGTCACAGAGGCTGAGTTTCAGGGAGACATTCACCCTCGTTCTCCGGAGCGCCGCTGGTACCGCCCGTTTCCCGCGTGCGCGTGTAAGGCCGGCGGCCGCTCCGGCTCGCGCTCTGCTGCGCCGCGGTGGAGGGCACAGCTCTGTGCCCGCGCGTGGTGGGGAGTCGCCGCGCCCCGGCAAAGCCTGCACGCCAGGTCAGAGGGCAGAAATGCAGCCGGCGTCCGTTTTTTAGCAGGAAGTCATCTAGGTGAACTGACTCAGTTAATCAAAACGAGATTCCTCAGTTTGCAAGCCCGAGTGCAGAACGCAGCTCTCCACCTCTGCCTGCAGACCCGGGACCCCAGGCCACGCGGGGTCACACGCGGGGTCTGTGCGGCGTCCAGAGCCCCTGTGGGTCTTGCTGGGGGACAGCAGCTCCTGGGCCTTCCCCGCTAACCGCCACCGTCGCCTGTGTTACAGAGCGTTCCTTTACCTCGGGCAGAATAACTTCGCCGAAGCCCACCGGTTCTTCACAGAGATCTTAAGGCTGGATCCCGCGAACGCAGTGGTAAGGGCCCCACGCCGCAGACTCTGCCCTCTGCCCGTAGAAACACGCACCCACACACGTGTCAGCAGGGGCCCGCTCTCCAGCCGCTGGGGGACGTGACCCAGCGGGGCCGCCTGAGCTCTGCCCGGCAGCTCTGCGCCACCTCCAGACCGACACGGGCCCGCAGCCGGGAGGGGGGTGGCTGACCCGGTACGTGTGCTCTCCCCAGGCCAACAACAACGCCGCCGTGTGTCTGCTCTACCTGGGCAAGCTCAAGGACTCCCTGCGGCAGCTGGAGGCCATGGTGCAGCAGGACCCCAGGCACTACCTGCACGAGAGCGTCCTCTTCAATCTCACCACCATGTACGAGCTGGAGTCCTCGCGGAGCATGCAGAAGAAACAGTCCCTGCTCGAGGCTGTGGCCAGCAAGGAGGGGGACAGCTTTAACACGCAGTGCCTCAAGCTGGCCTAGCTTACCCCAGCGCACGGCGTCAGCGTGACCCGGTCTTTGAAACTGTCCATGAAACTAATGCATTAATGTGACACGGAGAATCCAATAAAACTGCTACTTGACTGAGGTCTGGGTGCCTGTCTTCCTGATCCCAAGCCACGGCCCAGGCCACAGCTGCCCCGCAGCTGGCTGGCCTTCAGCCCCACAGTCCCTGCAGCTCAGCCACTGTTCATGAACGCAGGCGCCAGGCGAGCTGGTAGACACAGGAAATCCGGGGTCAGCCTCGGGGCCGTTGTTCCTGGAGGCCATCCCGCTTTGCTCATTCCTTCTGGACATCCTCAGAGGACAGCTGGGAGGTGTGGGGGCCCTCTCACCACGCGCCTGTACCGCAGGGGACTTAGAGCAGGGACGAAGCCACCCATGTGCCCCTTGGCCTCCCCACACAGCCGAAACTAAGTGCGTCGGTCTCATTATTCCAAGTCTCCTCTGCCTGATGCCCGCCGAACACCCCTGACAGCCTGGTGGTGGGGAGGCCATCGCCCTTTCTCCCGCAGTTTATACACCCACAGGGAGTGGCTGAGTGGAACAGGAACCAGGAGCATAATCGGGCAAAGGCAGCTCACGTAAAGGGCGGGCGGGCAGGGGCTGGGGGCGGTTTTGAAGCCAGGCACGTGGTTTCCACAGGTGCTTTCATGCCTGAAAGTCGGGCCTTTTGCTTTCACGTTGACAGAGCTATTCCTGCTTTTAAAGAAGTTAAGGTACCTGAACATTTCTTCACTTTATGAGAGAACTCTGACAAGGGTTCTCTAAATATCTAACTTTAAATATAATTCATTTTAAGGACTGTGATATAAACATCTGCACAAGGCAAAGCCACATTTCTGTTAATTTTTGTAACAGAGAAGAAACACAAAAACACAGCATCTACCAGACAGTCTCAACCCATTTGCTGAAATCTAGATTACGCATTAAAATAGAAGAAAAAAGGTTTTCGCTGCTGGACACAGAAGGTCTCAAAATTTTTCTCTTCAGAAAGAAAAAGAAACTTTTCCAGCCCAGAAAAGCTGGTGATGTAATTAGAAGCCCTTCGTCTCGAGGGTCTTCCTTCAAATCTGCCTTCAGGGGTGAGAGGCCAGGCTGGTTCCTCCGCACAAACCGGGCAGGGCACTGCGGGCATCTCGCGGGAGCTGCCAGTGGCTGACGAGCCTGTGCCTTCCAGGCCGGCGGCTCAGAGCTGTCCCCCGCCAGCTGTGCGCGAACGCGGACGGCAGTGCCCAGGCTCCCCCTAGACACGGGGGTCAGGGTGCCCCAGCCGGCTGGTAAGCCCGAATCGACCCTCCCTCCCCAGCCCCAGCCCAGTCACAGCTGCCGGCGGTGCCCTGACGGTGGGCGCGGGGGAGCTGCTACCTGGCCTCACCCCGGCCACACCTGGAGCCTCTTACAGGCAGCCCCGAGGGCCCTTCGCCTTCCTCTTCTCTCCAGTGCTTGGTGCATTTGCAGACACAGTACTTTTCCTTTGAACAAATGAGCGAGAATAAACCCGGGGCTGCTTGCCGAGCGCCTCCGCCTAGGCGGAACTAAAAACCGAGCTGGAGGGAGTCCCGAACACGCGACGGCGGAGCTCCTGCTGCTCTCCAGCAGCGCCGAGGATTGGAGGGAGGGCCCGTCGCTCTCCAGCAGGAGCACACGGAGTGGACGGAGGGCCTGTCACTCTCCAGCAGGTGCAGCGAGGATTGGAGGGAGGGCCTGTCACTCTCCAGCACGTGCACCGAGGATTGGAGGGAAGGCCCGTCGCTCTCCAGCAAACGCGGAGGATTGGAGGGAGGCCGCCTGTCACTCTCCAGCAGTGCACCAAGGATTGGAGTAAGGGCCGGGAGGGAGGGGAAGGCCTGTCACTCAGCACGTGCAGATTGGAGGGTGGGCCGTCTCTCTCCAGCAAGAGCACAGGAGTGGAGGGAGGGACCATCGCTCTCCAGCAGGAATATCAAGGATCAGAGGGAGGGCCCTTCACTCTCCAGCTCGTGCACCCAGTGGAGGGACGGTCTGTCACTCTCCAGCAGGAACAGGAGGATTGGAGGGAAGGCCTGTCACTCTCCAGCAGGAACAGGAGGATTCGAGGGAAGGCCTGTCACTCTCCAGCAGGAACAGGAGGATTGGAGGGAAAGCCTGTCACTCTCCAGCATGTGCACTCAGGAGTGGAGGGAGTCCCTGGCGCGCTCCGCCCGGAGCACCAGAAGATGGAGGAAGGCTCAGCCGTTCGTTAAGAGCTGCGTGTGAAAACTCGTGATCTCATTTCTTAGCAGCCATTACTGTCACCATGGCTCAGACCGAAATTGGCCTGGCCCGCTCAGGGGCAATGCTGCCTTCTCCCTGTCCTCGTCCGGGACTGGGGAGACGGCCGGACTCACCCGTTGCACACGTCGGCATCTGCTGCATAAATGCCGCCTCGGCCTGTTCGCGGCGTGCGTTCGAGAACGTAGCACCGTTGGCACAACGTTCTGCGGTGACCAAGTTTATAACGTGCAGGCTCGATGGCCGGTAAACCTGGGGCGCAGCTGTCCGGAGCCGCGGAGCCCGACCTCCCCCGCGGGGCGGGTCCCCCCTGCTCTGAATCCGTCCGGTTCTTCCTGGGCCGGTGAACGCCCCGACCCCCACGAGGGCCTGTGGGGTCACCCTGGCAGGAAGCCACAAGCCGCGTCCCGAACCCCGTCCCCACCCGCACGCCGGCAGCCCCGCGCTGGGATGGGCGCCCCGCTGCGCCACGCGTGTTCCAGAACGTGCCCCGTGAAGGGCCGGAGTCGGTATTGGAGGCCCTGTGGGCCACGCGCTGTCCCCGCCGCATGTTCTTTGGTTTGGGGGCGCTGGCAGGACAGCAGGACGCCCCCGCTGCACGCGGCCAGGCCCACGGCCGTGCAGGGCGGCGCCTTCTGCCAGCTCCGGAGGCCCTGAGAGGCCGGTGCCCAGCAGCCCTGGCTCCGGGCCGGCATGGGGCTCAGGCCGGGAGGCCTCACGTGCACTGCAGCCGCACCCGGAACACCGCGGCATCTGCTGCAGGACCCCCAGGGACCAGCTCCTGCAGTCCTGACCCCGAGTCCGCCATCTTCCTAGGGTGTCAGGTGGGTGCAGTCCCTGGCTGACCACCGAGGGTCCCTGAGGCTGCTGGACCAGCGCTGCACACAACTGAAATGCCCGCAACGCCTCCCACCTACGGAAAAGGAACCATCCCCAAAAGACCCTGGGCAACATCCCGAGGGGCACAGCCACAGCGCCGAGCCAGGACCAGCGCGGCCCAAGGTCCCCCAGCGTGCACTGCCCACTGGCACCGCGCTCCGCCAGGAGGACCAGGCAGAGTCCTGCCCACGGCTCAGGTCTACACCGCGCTGCCACCCAGGCTGGGAGCCGCCGCTGAGTGCAGGGCACGTGGCACGTCCTATGTGAGATGTGCTGCTGCAGAGACTTGATGAAACACTTCTAAAAGGTGTTAAAAGTCTCAGTAATAATTTTATATTGAGTACCTGTTAAAATGATAGGAATTTTGGTTACAGCAGATTAAATAAAACATTAAAATTCAGATGCCCTTCAAACGTGTTTAACGTGGCTGCTAGAAAACTTGAAAGTTACATATGTGGAGCCCATTTGTGGCTCGGTCCTGTTTCTATGGGATGATGGTGCCAAAGAACCCAACACGGGAAAGCCCCTGCAGAAGAGCCCTGCTTTGCCGAAGTCGGTGTGTGGCTTTCTGCCCAAGGGTTCCAGGCAGCCATGGCTGCTCTCTGGGGACTAGGCAGACGCTGGCCCTGCCAACCTCACCCTTCAGGGGCATGGGGTATGGGACAGGGTGTTTCCCCTGCTCCATGGCCTTGAAGTGTTGAGTGTCAGTCAGGATTAAAAGCAGTTTTCCCTGGAACAGAGTTCTGGCCGGTGCAGATCCAGAACCACGGAGGCCCCCACAGCTGCTCTGCCGAGGGCCGGAGCGTCTCCCCGCAGCAGGTCAGTCCCACAGCTTCCTTCTGTTTGTGTGGCACTTGCATGTGTCTTTTTTTTCTCCCCCAAATAATTTTCGGGTTTTATTCTTTCCCTTTGACATAGAAGAACACCAGTGCCAAGAGAAAGAAAAGGAAGGCGAGGGTGACAGGAGCCTCTTCCATTCCCACCTCTTCCCACGCGGCCTTTCACTTAAGGCTCATTTCAACTCCAGGCGGGTTTACAGGAAAGAATGTGGAGATCAGAAATGTTGTGTAACTTCCAAAGACTCACAGTTTAACGTGAGAGAGGGAGGGATTCCAATCCAAATCTAACGCTGAAGCCCACAGCAGGTGCCACGGATCTGTGCTGCCTTTTCACATACCGTGTGCTGCTTGGCACTGGGGAGCTGAGATTGCAGGCTGGCTGGACCCGCCGATGGGCTGCCTCGGGCGTGCTCTGGGCTCCAGTGCAGCACCCATGGGCACACGCTTACACATGCGCTCACACGTGGACTGCGCTCACCTGTGCCAATTCCTTTCCGCCTCGAGGTTTTCCTTTATTGGACCTGGACCCCAATTACAGGCAGCCTGTTCCCGCATCGCCCACCCTTGTCTGTGGGAGGCCATCTCTGGGCCCACTGAGGCATCATCCTGCCAGCGCAGCCAGCCAGGCGCCCCAGCCTCACTCCCCTCGACCCCAGGGCCCTAAGGCACTGCCCACCGAGACGATCCCCTTGACCTCCATCCCAGCTCCTCCTGGCAGCCCTACCACCCACTTCTTGAATGCCCACAGTGAGCCCGGGGTCCTGCTGCCTGTGCAGTGGGCCTGGCGCGTCTCCCTAAAGCCCCTAGCTGGCTTGGCCTCTGTCTCAGCTTCCACCTGCTGCCTGGTGTCAGGGGACTCTGCCAGCTCCCATGGCATGCTGAGCTGGACAGTCAGCAAACTGCACCCCTGACCCCTCAGCCACTACAGTAAACTCACTCCAACACCAGCGCTGCTGGAGTTCACATCCAGTGGATGGAGTGTATTCTCTGCACCCCAGGGCCCCTCACACCTGCCAGGAGGAAGCATGGCCCTGGCTCCTTGGGTAGACTGTGGGGAGGCCCCAGGATTCAGGGAGGCCCTAGGCTGTGGAGAGACCCCTGCTGGGGACAGAGGC